TAAATAATATTTAGATTTGAAACCAGACACACTGAAGAGCCTCCATTTCTGAAAGGACAGAAGGGGAGAGTATTTGTGTAGAAATTAGCTTGGCTGTTTCCAGGACAAGTCTGATGTCAAATGTTTCTGGATGATCTACAAGGCATCCGCCAGGCAGAGTTCCAGGCTTAACTCAATCACTCCAAAGTAGAGTAATAGGGTTTCCATCATTTGGTGGACTGGGTGTTTTGATCTTAGTCTTTGTCCTCCCTGACCATTAGTCAATGCCCTGCTACTCTTAGGGAGGATGGCGATGTGCAACTGCCTTTGGCTCTTACTTCATTTTTATCTCCCCTCTCCAAGGTCTTTGTCTTACTGGTGGAACCGAATCCAGTCCCTTCTCTACTGTGGAGAAAGTACCTTCCCTGGCACCTTCTTGGAACAGAGCCACAGCTGTACTTGTCCCTATGACCAATCCTCTTGCCAGGGCCCCATCCCATGTGCCTTGGGCGAAGGTCCTGCATGTGCACACTGTGCTTTAGACAATAGCACACGTTGTGGGAGCTGTAACCCTGGTTATGTGCTGGCCCAGGGACTATGCCGGCCAGAGGTGGCTGAGTCCCTGGAAAACTTTCTTGGGCTAGAGACAGACCTGCAGGACCTAGAGCTGAAGTACCTCCTACAGAAGCGGGATAGCCGCATTGAGGTGCATTCCATCTTTATCAGCAATGACATGCGTCTGGGCAGCTGGTTTGACCCTTCCTGGAGAAAGCGCATGCTGCTCACCTTGAAGAGCAACAAGTATAAGCCTGGGTTGGTGCATGTGATGTTGGCCTTGTCCTTGCAGATCTGCCTCACTAAGAACAGCACCCTGGAGCCTGTCATGGCCATCTATGTCAATCCCTTTGGGGGCAGCCACTCTGAGAGCTGGTTCATGCCCGTAAATGAGGGCAACTTCCCTGACTGGGAAAGGACTAACGTGGATGCAGCTGCCCAGTGCCAAAACTGGACTATTACCTTGGGGAACAGGTGGAAGACCTTCTTTGAGACAGTCCATGTTTACCTACGGAGCCGAATCAAGTCCCTGGATGACAGCTCCAATGAGACAATCTACTATGAGCCCCTGGAGATGACTGATCCCTCCAAGAATTTGGGCTACATGAAAATCAACACCTTGCAAGTCTTTGGCTATAGCCTGCCCTTTGACCCAGATGCTATCCGGGACTTAATTCTCCAGTTGGACTATCCATATACTCAAGGTTCCCAGGACTCTGCACTCTTGCAACTCATTGAGCTTAGGGACCGGGTGAACCAGCTTTCTCCACCTGGCAAAGTCCGGCTTGACCTTTTCTCCTGTCTGCTCCGGCATAGGCTCAAGCTGGCCAACAACGAGGTGGGCAGGATCCAGTCCTCATTGAGAGCCTTCAATTCTAAGCTGCCAAATCCTGTGGAGTATGAGACAGGCAAACTCTGTAGCTAATGGGGGATCTGCTCCAGCGCTGGTCAGAGAGTTGATTCACATATCCAGGGTGCAGAGATCATCCAAGCCCTCACCTTAGTGCCAACAGGGTGCTTCCATGAGACATTTAGCATCCTGGAGATGGGAGCGCAAGGCTTGGACTGATGTAAGCGAGAGACAATGAAACAGCCACTGCACATGTGCAAACATGCACACAGTCACACTCACCCACACTCACAGGGAGGCTAGAGCTCAGCAGCCTCGGATCTATAAAGTTGGTGCTTTCTGAAATGAACACATTTGAAGAAGAACCAAGGAAGAGAAACAGGGAAAGAATCAGCCAAATTATGAAACAAAGGAACAGAAATGCTTCAAATGATTCTTGTCATCCAAGATAGCAAGAGGGAACAAAAAAATGGGAGGGGTGGGAGATATTCCCCCTCTGTGGAGTCACTTTTGTATTCTTTTTAACCAGATTTCTTAAAATGTTGTTGTTTCGTGACTCCCTATATTGGTTATTACTTTTTGTATACTGCCCCCCCAGCATCCTGGAGGCCATATGCCTACTGTTCCTGGAGCCACTGGCTTGGGAAGTGCACGAAGTGCTGCCAACACAGGAACCAAGGCGAAGGGCAGCCAGGCTCCTTGCTCACCCCCTCACATCTCCCTCCTTCCAGCCACCTCACGTCCTTGGCCTCCCCAGTTTCAGGGTGTTGACTTGTTCGAAGTGCCCCTTGTGGTCCACCCAGAGCCCTCTTCCCGCAGCACCAGTTCTGTCCAAGGATGCAGCTTCACGTCCAGTTAGAGACAGACAATATATAGGGAAATGTTCTTTTAAAAAACAACAAAACGAAACATATTTATTTTGTGATTGTTTTTCTTGTCAATCTGCTCTAGTCACATGAACCTCTGAGTAAAATTTTACTTGGTTTAATACATTTTAAAAAGCCTTTTTTAGGGGGGGATGAGAGTGAAAAGAGCTATAATTCTTTGAGGTGTCTGGATTATTTTTTAAATTGTCCTGCATGTAATAGATGAGTGTCCATGGATGAAGTACATTACTGTGTGGAAGACTAGTTGATTAGTGTATACATGAACTGATGCATGCCTGTGTTGACTCAAGTGTGAGGTGTGTGTGTATGTGTGTGTGTGTGTTAGAGAAAGAGAGAGAATGAAACAGAGAGAGAGAGAGAGAGAAAGACATTTAATGAAAAATCAGAGGAGCTCTCTCAGAATGTCAGCACAGGACATAACCAAGATATCCCACTATCATGGCAAAGGACTGAAAGTTTTGTACACAAACAAGCTGCAGACTTCGTGCTGAAATGTCCACTTCCAGAGGCTCTGCTGCTGTGGATGTCAAAAGAGTTTCCCACATTCTATACATTATGATCTAAATTACCACTTAAGAAAACTGGCAATGGTACAAATGTGGTATTGGTTTCCTCCATTTTGTTTACCACTTTTCCAACCTCCAAAGTGGCTTTGACACATACTATAGTACAATGCATTTTTCTGTGCTTAGTGCCTACTGACAGTAGTATGAGAATCACCTCATGGCCTCTTGTTTGGAGAACCACTTCTCTGTTCACATACCACATGTTCCAGGTGCCAGACAAAGGTATGGCAACCCAAGTTTTATTCAGAGAAAATTGTCACAGGAGTATTAAGTATCTCATCCCTTAAATGTGGCATATTGTGACTGGTCAAAACAAAATGGGAGAAAATGATAAGACAGTCACATCTGTATTCCCAAGAGTCTTTTATGTTCATTGTTACATATAGAAGAATTTGAGATTACACATGATGATTGTACCATCTTTCAGCTACAAGAAAAATCCATGGTAGGCCATTTCTTTGCAATCCCCCTGAAGGTTTTTAGGGTAGAAATACAGAGTGATGGGATGATTGCGTGATCACAGCTATAAGATGTCTTCTAGTTCAAATCACTATTTTCCTTGTGGAATTTATACCAAGTTCCACAGTTGTGGGAAAGAGAAGCAGCAGATGACATCTTTATCAATGGGGGTGCTGAGGTAAACCAGAGGAGGGTAGTTTTGATGGGAAGAGGATTACAAACGGCAAGAAGACTTTGTTATATGCCAGTGATGGGCTTTGAGAGATGTAAGGCAGACATTAGAGTCTGATTTTAGTACTCCAAATGATCATGTCTACATGCTGTAGGAGTGGGTGGACAGAAATTTTCACTTATGAACTACAGGTAAACATTTTGTGTGGCAAATTGCCAACTGTTATGCATAGCAGTTCTGGGAATGGAAAGACAGAATCTTGAGAAGCTAGTGTGCACAAAGTTAGCAATGTGTAGCCTCAGTTGTAGGACCTTGATTGTCCCAGTGGGAACTGAATCAGCACACAGAGACACAGGCTGAGGGGTGGGAAATCTCAGCCATACGCCTCTAAATCAAAGATCAGACTGGGCTACAGTGTTGCTAGCAAAGATGAGGCTTGTTTCAGAGGTGATCTTAGACACTAAGTCTAATAGTGTGAAGTATCATGGTTTTAAGAACGTATACATGCATTTATGGGCGTTTTCATTCCTTGCTCTCTGAAAGGTCTAAACTATGAAGGTTAGTGCATCAACCGCACCTGGAAAGTACTACTATACATCAGTGCCCCTTTAATCTCATATTCAAGTAACACTGATAGAGGCCTGAGTGAACATTAACTGTAAGAGTAGAAATTTTAATATTTTGCCTACTCATTTGCTATGATAAATGTCTGACTCATCTGTTCTGGAACTGTGGAGGATGCTTCTTGTAGAAGAGCTTGGATCAAAGCAGCAGACCAAAGATTATGCTTTTAGAAGACAGAAGGGAAAAGGGAAGCAATAGTGACTGGGCAGGATCCCTAAAGAGGAAGTTTTAAAGGCTTAATGCAATTAGTTCAGCATAGAATTTCTCATAAAATTAGGCTGTGAAATTCTATAAGAAAAGGCTGCCCACTGTTAAAGATTTCACCTGTGAAGTCTATGATAATTGAAAGATGTGAGCAACTTATTCTCAGAGCACATTTGCAAATAAAGAATTGTCATTAATTAGTACTGGGTTGTCAGTTTTGGCGAACTCATTGTGGAATTCAAAGCTAAATCACAATTTAGTTACTACCTATCATGCACTAATCACAATCAGGTATTCGAGCCTTAATTGTAACCCCAAAGAACTAATACATCAAATACTAATCTTCCCTAATGCTTGAGACTAATACCTCAAAAACCATATAATATATTCAATATCTGCTAGTAATAATATAATACTATACTCTAGAAATGCACTCAGTGATCAACAGTCCAAAACAAATGAACTCACAATATTAGGAACTGTACATATTTCAGATCACGTTCTTGGCTTCTTCTCAAAATTATGAAAACAGTAGTTCATGATAGGCAGATCTACCTTGAGAGTAGACAGAATATGTTGCCTATATGTTATCCTGAACCAAAGTCTATAATTTCATTAGGTAGGTCTGTTCTGCATTTTGTAGAAGTATTCTTTTGTCATTATGTTCTGCATAAAAATTAAATACAGTTTGGGAGAAATAAGTCATACAAATTAACCCAATGGCAAAATAGAGAATTACATGTTTTGGAGTGGGAAAGTTTTCAGAGGCTAGCAAGTCTGATATATTCACTACTGACATAAAGAAAAAGAGGTTAAAGAAACTAGAGAAAGTATAGAGCATGCCCAAGTTTATATCTGCCAGCAGAGCTAGAAATAGCAGCCATGGTCATTTATTTTGTCCTCAATATCTCTCTGCCAATAAATGACATCTGAGTCTTAGGAGTGAGAGAGACCCAGCTTAGGGCTCAAGAATGTGGGGATAGGAAAAAGAAAACAGCCAGGAATGGTGACTTGTGCCTTTAATCCCAACCCTTGGGAGGCTGAGGAAGGTGGGTCTCTGTGAGATCGAGGCCAACCTTGTCCACATAGTGACTTCCAGGTAGACTAAGACTAGGGAGACCTTGTCAAAAAAAGAAAAAGAAAAAGAAAAGAAGAAAGAGAACAATTTTCTAGGGAGGAGAAAAAGATTAACTACTAAGAAATGGTAGTATCTTAATATCTTTCCCTATTGCTCTTTCTTGGAACAATAATTGCTCTTTCAGCATGTGAAGGAACACCTGCCCCTGAAGTTTCTCTTCCTGGGAAGCATCAAGCACAGGGTAGACATGTTTTCATATAATACAGAGACAGAGCAATGGCCTTGGTGGTCTCCTGATGGCCCTATCAACTCACTGCTTTTAATTGAAATACCCTACCTCTGATTTCTTAATATGTACATTTTCTATAACTACTATAGAATTTTTAATAGTCTTAGAATCGTCTAAGGCCTGGGAAACATCTTTCTCTTAAAGGCTAGATGTATTGAATACTATTAGCATTGAAAGCCTTAGGCTGTCACTGTGGTCTAGGTCAGGGCAGCGACCAAAAAGAGTCATAAAGTAACGATGCCCTGGTGTAGGCTGAGTCTTTCCCGCTTCTCACAGCAGAGTAAAGAAAACAAGCAGCAAGGAAGTCACATCACCAAAGACAAGAACTGGCCTATACTCCTGGTAAAGATTCCTTCTCTAGATGAAGCATTAGTCATGCGAAGGAGAGGGACAAGTTGGGAATTTTAGGTAGTATCACAGACTAAGCATGCTCTTGTCTTCTGTCATTTAATTTTGGTTTTGCCACCAGTCAGCTTTATGATTAGGCTGAATATTTCCACTTTTTTAGGGTGAGAGATGCTCAGTTTTCTCCACTGTGTAAGAGGGAGTTGGATTCTCTACACAGGTTCTGGGGTGCTTCTAAGATATCCTTTAATACTATGAAAAGCACTATGGCACAGGAGACTGTGCAGCCCATAAATCACACCAATCTGTATTTGCAGCTTAGGTCCCTACTTATAATTTGAATGACCTTAGATCTTGATCTTCTGATTTAGAACCCAACTGCTTTGTTTCTACTTTCCTTTACTGAACATTTACCTCCATATATTCTTTAGTTCCATACTCTCCAACTTTTAGAATACACACATCTCCTTTATTCACGAAACTCAATCTCATTCCTTCCTCCCCTTTCTACCTGTATTAATTACTAGGCACTAGGCTAAGTGTATAATGTTAAAAATCCTACAAAACATGTTTCTGAGGTGGTGTGTACAGTGAGTAGGGATAGGACACTTTTTAAAAATTTTAATGGACATATGACTTTTTATTGATTTTTTTGGTGTATTTCATACAGAACCTCTCAAACAATCTCAATCATCTTTATACCCGCAACCCCACTGGCACCCTCCCGTAGCCTCCCCCCACCACCACTGGAGCCCGTGTCCACTGTGTTGTCAGTGTAAGTCTATCCACTGCGTCTAGTCAGCCTTTCTAGAGTCCCTTATTTTAGGGAAGATCAGCTCTCCTTCTTCTAGCAGCGATCAGTTGCCAACATTCCTTTAGATAGGATTGGGGTCTTCTGTTCATTTTCCCAGTTCTATGCTGGATTACAGTCTGCCTGAGTTTGCATGGGACATGTGTATGCTGACACCATTGCCATAGAATCATATGAGCAGGTTCCCAGGAGTGTGTAGGACTGTGTGGACCCTTAAATTATATTGGTCCCTTTAATCTTTGGTTATACTTTCCTTTTGGGCGCTTAAGGGCATACAGTTGGCCCAGATAAACCAATTTATTTTTACTCTTAAGGTGTGTAGGACTGTGTTTCCATATGGTCATGCACCTCTTCTCTGGCTCTTACAATCTCTCTGCCCTCTCTTCTGCGATGTCTCTGAGCTTTGGGTGGGTGAAGTTTAATAAAGGGGTCCTGTCCAAGGGCCATTATTTAGCAGACTCTTGGTCTCTACACTTTGGCCATTTGTGAGCTTTTGTGTTCTTGGCCCTCCACTGCATGAGGGAGCTTCATTATTGAGACCTGATTCCTTAGTGT